AAAGCAAGAGAGTTATTAACGATCAAACAGTGTGCACATCCTTTTGGGACACCCTGTATTCCTGTATTTGCACTCCGCGTATTTAGATAAGACATCTGGTAAACCGCCACACCGCGTGGCGGTTGAAGTCGCGCAAAGTATGTCCGCAGCCTATAAGATTTCCTGCACTGGGCGCAAATACCGCAGTCAAATGTGGTCACGATTTTATTATTTGCAAGTCTGAGGTTTTTAGATCAAAGGCAGAGCATGGAACTCTTTAGTGGGTTCGCCTCTAAAACAATCAGGCGGCTTGAGCACGTGAAAGAAGTACTTGTAAACATTCGCACTATCAAATCAATCAAAACTGACAAGACAAGGGCAGAAGTGTCATGCGCAAACATAACGATGTCCTAATTTGAGCTGATCAACACTGACATGTGTGCTTTTTTGAAAAGAAGTACATACTAGTGGAATTTTTTACATCTTTTCGGCAATGAAATTAATCTTTTTTTTCAATTTTTGGCTAAGCTTTCAAAGAATCTTAGTGAGTAAAGGATCAAAGCCTGGAGAAGCGGGTGTTAAAGATGCGAACGATGCAGAATATTTATGGCTGAAAATCACTTTGGTAGATGTTCCAGGACAACTTGGGATAAATTGTAATGGCTGCCTTTGGGCCCCGTGGAACAAAATTTGTTGAGGACCAATCTCTTTAGGAATTGAAAAAATTACAAATCTAAGCATACGAGAAACCATTCCTTTGACTTTGCCAAAAATTATCCCCTAAGGGTAAGGGCTTGTAAAAGCACGATACAATAGAAAAACAGCTGTGAGAGTCAGATGCATGGCACTGCCGTATGTGGAGAGATCTGAGATCAGATAAAAAGCTTAGAAGGTATGATGCTCTAATTGTCAAACAAACAAATCAAGTGTTTTCAGAAAACTAAAGTTTAGAAAATGAGGAAAAAAGATATTTACCTCGCGATAATAGGATTTGAGGAATTGAAATGCTTTGAGCAATGTATACAAACTTCCCATTAACATTTTCAAAGGCAATAGACAAGTCACTGATTAGTAATGGAGCCACTCAGAGTCGCTAAAGAAGATGTTCAAGAGAGTAGGATCTGATAGAGGAAAAGACAAAGCAATCGAGACCGTGGATGACAAGTCGAAACACACATACACTACAGCATAGCTTTGCCAAACCTTTTTTCATTGAAGAGAAGTGATCATGTAGTGCCAATGAGTTTCGGATATGTCAAGAATAGATAAATAACTTTGTGCCATGAGTTCTATGCCCAATCATGTAAGCAAATGGTTCCGAGGAAGAAGGCAACACCGAGTTAAAGACGCAATGTATGAAAAGCTCATTTTCGAGGGTGTTCTGTAACAAACGTATATGCATCCGCTATTTGGCTCTTGCAACAATTAGCTCAGCTCAGAGGCTTTTTTCTTTCGCAGTAGACATTTTTTCCACGGTCGCAATAAAAAGCTATGGATTTGTTTGTACAAATTGGCACTGCAAAACTTTCGCATGCGCATTGGGGCACAATAGTGCAGGGTGAACTCGAAAAAATTACCTTAATCTCCAACAGTGAGTTACTTTACTACGAACCTCTTCAGTCAAAACAGTGTTCTGAATCAAAGTAACCTGGTGATATAATGGAAATGCCTTCCGATTTCCCATATAATTAGAAAATGAAAAAAAAATTGGTTACATAGCTACTCACTTCAAAAAAACCTCCAAACACAGATGAGCAAGAAGCATTAACCGAACAGCAAATAAAATATGTCTCGTTCGATCTAGTCTACCAGTAATTTTTGAAACAGAGCCGCATGGAGCTTTAAATGAACCGACACCATATTCATGTTATTGCTTTTTTTTTCTTTATGCCCAAACGCACTATAGCACGCTTCCAGTAGAGAGATATTTTTCATCCACATTTAGCAAGCAAAGCGCATTTCTTTCTCAACACCCTTTTACAATCAACTGTTCGCAGTCAAAGAATCGCGATTGGTGACAACTTCACCTAATGCTAGAAGAAGCACTCATTGAAAACTAACGGAAACGGTCAAGGAGTTGGGGTACACAAGAATGTGGTGGACCATTTGATTGGTTCTGGAGGAGTGCTTAGGTAGATCAGGTTACCTTTACTTTCAAAGGAATACCGATTAGGAAGCTTAGCTTAGTCATTGCGAGCAGCTTGGATTTCGAGGACGAACCCAGTACCGTAATCGAGGATGCTGACTGGCCACAAATTTACAGTCTGAGCCAGAATCCATAGTCGAAAATCTTGGCCACCAATGGTTTATATAAGCTATCGCTTGGGCAACGACATAGGCAGGCTTTTCATCAGTATCTACATAAGAAGTCCAAAAATGCTATTCAGAACGACGCGGAAGATTCTTGAAATTATCAGTTTTCTGCAGGATACTCAAAAATAGTCGCTATGAACTGAGCACCTTTCCACAAAGACCAGCAAGAGCATGAACAAAGTGTTAAATAAAGTCTTAAAACTTTCGCACCAGCTTGAACATCTGTTTGAGTTCGTTACACCCACCTATAGAAATGAGCCAGTCGAGCCTTGGTCTGCTGGTAATGCTCTTTTTCTTTTTCAGACAGCACACGATCGCAAACTTCCTCTAGCCTATCGAATTCTTTTGCTTTGCCTAAAATAGGTTGAGAATAACGAGTGAACCATCTT